TGCCCGCGACCACCGCCACTATGCGGATCTTTTTACGGATCCCTATGAGAACCGCTCTGGGGATCCCTATGTGCATCCCTATGCGGATCCCTATGCGGATGCCTATGCGGATCCCCTTGCGGATACCTACGCGGATGCCTACGCGAATTGCCATGCGGATCCCTATGCGGATCCCTATGCGGATGCCTGTGCGGATCCCTATGCGGATGCCTCTGGGGATCCCTGCGGATTCCCTTGCGGCTCCCTATGCGGATACCTGTTCAGATCCCTGTGCGGATCTCTAGCAGCACCCCTGGGAACCCCAATGCAAATCCCAATGCAGATCCCAATGCGGATCCCGACGGAGGAGTTGGAGGAGGTGGAGGAGGTGGAGGAGAAGGAAGAAGCAGGAGGAGGAGGAGGAGGAGGAGGAGGAGGAGGAGGAGGAGGAGGAGGAGGGAGGAGGAGTAGTTGGAGGAGGAGGAGGAGGAGGAGGAGGAGGAGGAGGAGGAGGAGGAAGAGGAGGAGGAGGAGGAGAAGGGAGGAGGAGGAGAGGAGCATGTGAAGCGACTGAAACCGGGAGGTTATTCAAGACTTAATTCCGGAGTTAAGTCGGCCCGATTCTGGGGTAAAGGCCACCCCGCGGAAAAACTTAACTCCAGAGTTAAGTCGCCGCCAAGCTGGCGGACGCACCAGCTGCTACACGAATTAACTCCGGAGTTAAGTGATTCCCACGCCGCGCGCCCCAGCCAGGTACAGACTTAACTGTGGAGTTAAATCGCCGCGGCATTTGGTTGGGTGCCGCGACGATTGAGAGGACAGGAAGTGGAAGAGGAGGAGGACGGCGACGAGGAATATGAGGAGGAGGAGGAGGAGTGAGGAGGAGAGGAGGAGGAGGAGGAGGAGGAGGAGGAGGAGGAGGAGGAGACAAGCTAGGTGCCTTCGCGTCATATCTGACATCCGACCCCTCCCTCCCATCCCTTACCATGGCGTAGATCCCTTCTCTGTTCGCACACAGTCGGATGTCGATCAGGGCAATGATCCCGAAAGGGTACGCGATGCATTGTAGAGCACGGCGTGGCATGGCGTAGAAGAGCACCGCAAAGCGTAGTATGTCACAACATGGCGTGGCGTGGCGCGGTGAAGAATTGCATCACAAAGCTTTGCAACGCAAAGCATGGTATCGCACAGCGGCCCCGAACATAACATTGCATAGCATGGCGTTGAAGATCTAAGCGTAGCCTGGCATAGCACGACGCGGCACTTAAGCACTGCATATCACAGCTTCAGCTGAAGGCATGGCATCGCGCAGCGTCACGCAACCTAGAATTGCATTGCACGCCGTGGCATGGCACGGGAAATGACGCCAGCGCTGCAGCGGGAGCACGATTCGGAACGAGCGGAAGCGCGGAAATGCAGCCAACGCTGCAGCGGGAGCACGTTTCGGAACGAGCGGAAGCACGGAAATGAAGCCAGCGCTGCAGCGGGAACACGAATCGGAACGAGCGAGACCTGAAAATGAAGCCGGCGCCTCAGCGAATGCAGCACTTTGAAAACATATGCAGGCGAAAACCCAACTCCAGGGAATCCTGCGTGTAAAAATACAGCACGCAGGGGGGCGGGGGCGAACGCTCCCAACCCGTCATCAGGGGAAGGAGGAGAGTAGCGTTCATATAGAACAATTGTGGAGGAGGAGGAGGGGACACATCAGGGCACGGGGGGCCGAACGCCGCAGGAGCGCGACTGCGACTGCGACCGCTACCTCTGGGCCGAGCTCCGCCTCGCCCCCGCCCCCTCTTTTTCACGCGAGCGCGATGCGCAGGCTGCTTCCCGCCAATCGCCAAGCAAAGCAAGCATGCGAAGAGTCTTCGAAAATAATACAAATCAGACACGCTTCGATGCTCGCCGACCTCCGCCTCCCCCTGCCCCCCCCTGGCCCGACTACAAGGGCCCTCACTTCCGGCGCCTCTTCGGGCATGGCCCGTCGCCTGGCCTGGCGCCGGGCCCGCCGGCGCCGCCGCCGTCGCCCGGGGGGGCTCCCGGGGGGGCGGCGCCGCCGTCGCCCGGGGGGGCGCCCGCCGACTCCGTGCCGTCGAAATGCAGCTGGTCGAAGCTGCAAATGCGGACGGCGGGCCGCCACCTCGGCGCGACCAGCGGGCGCGGAGCGGGCGACGGCCGGGGCCGGCCGCGACCCCCCCCCCCGGCAATATATGCTGGAAGCTCCAAAACTTGTCTACATGCTAAACCTTCCAAAAGAAATCGCCGAGGGCCCCAATGGATCGAGGTGCGTCGGCCAAGCCCGACTGAATTTGGCCATAATATGCGAGGCGACCAATGGGGGACGGCGCGCGGCGCGAGGGCCCGCGGCCGCCGCAGCGACGCGCTCGGCACGCGCGACTCGATGGCAAACTAAGCCAGCCGCAACGACCTGTCGATGCACGTGGGCGGCTCGTTGTTGCGGCAGTAGGCGCCCACGTCGCCCTCGACGTCAGAGATAATGACCTCGGGCGCAAGCGGAGCGGGCGGGGGGGTCTCTCGGGTCGGGCGAATGGCGGGGATAGCAAAGGGGGGGTTGAGAATCAGCTCACGTAGCTGATTTTCCCGGCGCCTCCCAGCGCCAGAGGCGGCTATGCATCGAGGAATGGGCCCCTCGGTGAGGCCGAAGCGAGCTGCATGCAGCAAATTTCGTAACCCCCCCCTTTCCCAATCCCCCCCTTTCGCCCGACCCGAGTCTCGCGCGCCCCCGGCTCCAGGCGCGCCCAACGCCGCGCGCGCGCGCGAATCGCAGAGCCCGCGAGAACCCTGCCGGCGGCGCCCCCCCGCGGCGGGCCGATCGGCGCCCGCTGGCCACCAAGCGCTAAGACGGCGACGATCGGCCTCATCAAGACCGCGGCGCACGCAGTGGCCACCAAATGGTCCGCCCAGGAACCGGGCTTCCGCATGTGCGCGACGTACGCGTCCACGTTGGGGAACTGAGCTCTGTTGAGCGCGTTCTCGAACGTGCCGGGGAGGCTCGCGATCCAGTTCGTGGCTGGGGGCGACGTTTTACAGGCGCGGGGGCCCGTGCGGGGGCGATGAAACTCAAACCCCGCCCGCGGGCCCCCCCCTCTGCCGCTCGGGCCCAGCTTGCGGATAGCTAGCGGGGGCAGGGGGGGGGTCCGTCAAGCGGAGGGCAGTCCTTCAGCTCGCAAGCCCTCGGCGGTCAGGCCGACCTCCTCGCCGCCCCTCCTGAGCGTCTCGATCAACGCGTGGAAGAGACACGCCCCGTCGCCCGGCACACCGACCGCCTGCGATGTCAACTCTGGGACAGCGGCGGTAATCGCTGGGGCGCAATCTACGCGGCGCAATCACAGAGGTGCAATCTATGCGGCGCACTGCAATCTACGCGGTGCAATGCAATCCCCGCGGTGCAACCTAGGCGACGCGAGCTATGCGTCTCGGCGACGGGCGGCCACAAGCGGCGACGGAGAAATAAGGGCACCTGACTGCGCGCGCGGATTGCACCCGCTGAAAGGAAATAGGAACGCAAGCACTGTTCGGAGAATCGGGCAGCCCGCGAGACGGGCGCCCAGCCAAATGAAAATGCGCAGACCTACATCAGGGCGCATCGGCGCGACGAGGCCTGGAGGCCCCACTTCGCCAAACGCTGTCCGATGAGTTGCACGCTGGCCGCGTGGCGACGACCTTGCTCATCCTGCTCGCTCAGGGAGAGCGCCTTGGCCATGTTCAACTGCAGGGCCTCCCAGTCAGAGTTGTACATGGAGCTGATGCCCGCCAACATTGCCACGAGGACCTTGGAGCTCTTCGCCATCTGCGCGTGCTGCGGGCAGAAATTGCACGACGCCTGCCGCTTCCTCCTGCAGCGGGCCTGCGCCGTCTTCCAGCAGCACCTGTGGGGCGGGGTGGGTGGGGGGTCTGGGCGCCCCGAAGAGCAGGGGGGGTGGGGCGCCTGTCGCCCTCGCACTGCAAGTTGGACGAGAGCAGCGGGACGGCGCCTGGTGACGCCGCGGAGCCGGGTAGCTTGCACGGCGGCGCCGCCGGGGCCGCTGGCCTGCCCGCGGCGGGCGGCCCCGGTCGCGCCTGCGGCGCGGCCAAACCGCCCCCCCCCCCGCTTCGACGCGCGCCCGCCAGGATCGGGGCGCCCCTAGGGGGCGCGGGGCGAGGCCGATGGGGAAGGGGGCGGTTTGGCCGCGCGGCCTGAAACATCGCCTTCATCTTCTCAGAGTATTTGGGCGTATTCGAATGCTTCGGCGGCTGGGAGGAAGAGGAAGACCCCGTAGCTGCGCGCGGCAAACTGGCCGGGAGCGGGGCCGCGTAGGACCCCTCCAACATTTTCTCGACGAACAAGGAGTGCTCACTGACCCCCCCGTGCTTCATCCAGTGCCTGTGCGAATCGATGGCCTCCCCAGTGTCCGTCACATAGACGATGGCGAAGAACGTCCTCAAGTACCGATGACGGTTCATGGAGTACCCGTTCTGGCCCAGGCTCCTGCAAGGCGCGAGCGGGGCCCCCCGGCGCGCCGGCCCCCTGGGGTTGAAGGGGCCGATGCCACCCGCCACCGCGCCCCCCCTCCACGGCCGCCCCCCGCCGTCGCGGTGACGGCCGCGCCCCTGGCGTGACGGGGGCCTGGGCAGGCCCCGTTCAAACGCCGCGTCCTGTCCCTCGCCGCCTCCCTGACATCGGAGAAAGACTTCGCCGTGCCCAGCTGCAGCGCCGCCCGCATGTCCGCCTTGCGCTCCTTCGCCCAGCCCAGGTGGAACTTCGGCAAGACGTGCACGGAGGTGGTCTGGACTGCGACGCCGTCGACGTTTAAGACGACGTCGCACGCGTTGGAGAGGTACGTGCCGTCGCGGCCCTCCCGCTGGAAGTGGAGTATCATGTCGTGGCGGTTCAGCCTCGCGGGGCGGGTCGTCGTGCCCCCCTCCTCCTCGCTGACATCCCGTTCAAGTCTGCTCGCCACTTGGCGGCGGCCCTCGCCAGTCAGCGAAGGGGGGGGATCTTGATCTCGCGGTGCAGAAACTTCCAGAAGCCAGTGTCCTTCCTCGACGTCATCATGGCGCCGATTCCGTCGATCAGCTCTGGGAGTGACTTCGGGCCCCCCGCGCAGCAAGCGCCTTTGAGAGTCCGCCAAGATCTTTCAATTGTAGACGTCGCGTACGTCGTAAGGCCAGGGGGGGCCTGCCCGAGCCCGCAGCGCCAGGGCGCGGTGATCGTTCCGTCTGGACGCACTGTAAAGATGTTCGTCAGGAGGTAGTCCGCCATTGCCGACTCGCCCCATTGAAACGACTCTTCCCCGTCCTCCCTCATCCGATCGAATATCTCCGTCCACAGCACGTTGAACTCCAAGTCACTCTCACCCTCGCCCCCGGCGCCGCTGTCGGGGAGGCCGGCGGAGAATTCCATGAAGTTCTTGATGGGATGTATGAGGGCCGTGTTCTTCATCCGCTTCACGCCGCTCCCCTTGTCCAACATCTTCTTGCCCTCGTCAGCGACGTTCCCCTTCACGCGCTGCAGGCACCTGCGCAGTCGGATGCCACGAGCTTCGCACAAGGGGGCGGCCGCGCCCATGCACCGGCAGTCCATGACGGCGTGCGTCGTGCTGATGCCAAGGCGGTCAGCGATCTCGAAGTAAGCCTGCAAGAGAAGCTCGGAAGCCTCGTCGTCCTCGGTCTCCGAGGCCATGAACACCACCGGCAGGAAGCGCATAGTCGGGAGGCCAGTTGCTTCGTCCACGTGGAGGCCCACGGGGCCAACGGCACCCACGAGCATCCCGTGGTAGTTCGTCTTCCACGTCCAATCCATCAAGAGCCACTCCAACCTGTGCTCGGCAAGCAACGCCTCGGAGACTCCGTGGGTGAAGGGGATGCGCAAGTTCTTTTCGGTCACAACTGGCGTCTGCTGACCTGTCTTTGTGTCGACCATGTTCAACAGGAAGATCGGGTTGTGATCCTTCTTCAACCAGTCCTTCATCTCCCCGATGCAAGCCTGGGGGTAAGGCTAAAGCTAAAGGCGCAGCAAGGCGCCCGTCGGGCACGATGGGCCACGGCCATTGCCCCCCTGGGGCACGGGGGGCGACTCTGGGGGCCCCGCGCACACAGACGACGTTCCAGCGCACTGTCACCCTGCCGGCAACCACGGGGATTCTGGGTTCCTCGGGCTTGCGCGTCCTGGCGTTCTGCAACTGCTTGAGATCTGGTCTCTCCTTCAGCGGGACCTTGTCTCGTTCCATCTGGTCGCGCGCCTTCACGGGAGACATTCTCTGGGCGTACTCCTTGGCGCGGTCGAGGATGCGGGCGTTCGACGGGGACGTTGGGCAGCACTCCCCTTTCTTCTCGACGACGAGCACTAGGCGGCCAGTCCCGCGGGGTGGAAGGAAGGAGAAGCACCGCTGGCGGGTGCACCCTGCGCAGTTTTTGCAAGGTGCATCCACGGCTTTGCGCCCCTCGGCCGTTGTGTTGCGCAAGTGTCCCAGTCGACATCCGTGGAGCTGGTCGGCGGCCTTGGCTGCAGCCTCCCGCAACTTCGTCGTGTCAGGGCAGGATAAGCGGGCGTGTTCGGTCCATCCTTTCCTTGGGCGACCCGGGCGCCCTCGCTTGGCCGGGGGGGCGCCTGTGCCAGAGTCCTCGGGGACGGGCCCGACGAGGGCGCCTTCTGGCGCAACGGGCGCAGAAACCGGCGCGGACTCAGGCCCCTCGCCGGATTCCTCTTGCGCAGGAAGAGGACGTTCCGGCGTAGCGGGCGAATGAACCGGCACGGGCTCGGGCACCTCGTCGGTCTCTTCGCGCGCAGCAGCCAGAACTGGCACGGGTTCAGGCACCTCGTCGGCGTCTTCCTGCGCAGGGGCAGGAACTGGCACGGGCACCGGTTCCTCGACAAACTCCTCCTGCTCCAAGAATCCAGTCGCGTTCTGTTGGCCGAAGCACCCCGCGAAACCGTTTGCTGTGACGATGCCCACTTCCACGAAACCGTTTGGATACCCTCGGGCCCACCCTTGCAGCATGTGCTCGTAAAATTCATCGGGGTGCACGTCGATCACTTCCACTAACGCCCCAGGCGCGTCAGAGTGCCTGCGCATCCACGCGCCGTGGGCAAGCGCGGTGGAGTTGACCCAGAAGATGAGCGCCATCATGTAGGACAGCATTGGGATTGCAACCAGAACGATACAAGAAGATCTCGGGGCAATCGGATTGAGTTGGAAGCCTTCGTCTTCGAGCCACACGGACAAAGAGGGGAGGGGAAGGAGGATAGGGGAGGAGGAAGAGGAAATCAGGAACAGAGGTAAACATGGATGGAGTATGAAGCTCCGCCATGGGCGAGAGACCAGCAGAAAACGTAACCTGGGGCGCCAGCTGTCTTCGTGATCACAGGCATCCCCCCTCCAACTCTCCAGCGGCCCCAGAGGGGGCCCAAGAGGGGGAACACGAACCGACAATTCGAGCCTTCCGCCCAAAGAGGATCCCAGGAGGCCCCAAGAGGCCTCCACCATCATCATCATCATCATCACCATCATCATCAACATCAGCATCATCATCACCGTCATCAGCATCATCGTAGTCGTCGTCGTCATCGTCATCATCACAACCATATTCATATTGACCATCATCGACATAATCACCGTTATCACTGGTATAATCACCATGACCATCATAATCACCATGAGCATCGTGATCATCATCGTCATCAGAACCTTCATCATCCTCATCATCATGATCAGCATCATCACAATCAAAGTATCGTCATCGTCATCATCATCTTCATCAGCATCATCATCGTCGTCATCGTCATCATCGTCGTCGTCATCATCATAACCATCATCATCATCACCATCATCAGCATCACCAACACCATCATCATCGTCATCGTCATCGTCATCGTCATCATCATCATCATCGTCGTCGTCAGCATTGTCATCATCGTTGCCCTTCTCCTCTTCCTCCTCCTCCCCCTCCTCATCATCATAAGCACCACCAACAGCACTACCACCATCATCACCGCCACTATCCTCATCATCAACATCATCATCATTATCATCATCGTTGTCGTCATCGTCATCATCCTCATCCGCATCATCACCACCATCATTATCATCATCATCATCCTCGTCATCGTCGTCGTCTTCATCATCATCATCGTCATGGTCATTGTCATCATATTCGTCATCATCATCATCATCATTATCATCATCATTACCGTCGTCCTCGTCATCGGTATCATCATCAGGGCGGCGGGGTAGAAGGGAGGATGAGGATGAGGAGGAGGAGGAGAAACAGCAGCAGTGAGGAGGAGGAGGAGGAGGAGCAACAGCAGCAGGGAGGAGCAACAGCAACAGGGAGGAAACAGAAGAGGGATCCTCCTCCTCCTCCTCCTCCTCCTCCTCCTCCTCCTCCTCCCCCGCCTCCCGTAGGGGCTCGCAGTCCCGGCTCTTCTGTGCCGAGTGGCCTGAAACTGCGCACCCTTCTCGGACAGTCGGGAGCAGGACGAGGAGGAGCATGAGGAGCTGCGCCAGAGCAGCAAAAGGAGGGGGAAGATGATGATGAGGAGCAGCAGAGGAGCAGGAAGATGAGGAGCAGCAGCATGGGGGTGAGGAGAAGTATCAGCAGCAGCAGCAGCAGCAGCAGCAGCAGCAGCTCATCATCATCATCATCATCAGCATCATCATCATCATCATCATCATCATCATCATCAGCATCATCATCAGCATCGTCATCATCATCAGCACCATCATCACCATCACCATCACCATCACCATCATCATCAGCAGCATCATGATCATCATCATCATCATCTGCACCATCATCATCATTATCGTCGTCCTCGTCATCGGTATCATCATCAGGGAGGCGGGGTAGAAGGGAGGATGAAGATGAAGAGGAGGAGGAGAAGGAACAGCAGCAGTGAGGAGAAGGAGGAGGAGGAGCAACAACAACTGGGAGGAACAACAGCAGCAGGGAGGAAATAGAAGAGGGATCCTCATCCTCCTCCTCCTCCTCCTCCTCCTCCTCCTCCTCTTCTTCCTCCTCCCCCGCCTCCCGTAGGGGCTCGCAGTCCCGGCTCTTCTGTGCCGAATGGCCTGAAACTGCGCACCCTTGTCGGACACTGGGGAGGAGCAGGAAGAGGAGGAGCATGAGGAGCTGCGCCAGAGCATCAATAGGAGGGGGAGGAAGACGAGGAGCAACAGAGGAGCAGGAAGATGAGGAGCAGCAGCATGGGGATGAGGAGAAGTAGCAGCAGCACCAGCAGCAGCAGCAGCAGCAGCAGCAGCAGCTCATCATCATCATCATCATCATCATCATCATCATCAGCATCATCATCATCATCATCGTCTTCAGCATCAGAATCATCATCACCACCATCATCATCATCATGATCATGATCATCATCACCATCGTCATTACCATAACCAACATCATCATGAACTCCATCGTCGTCGTCAACATCATCCTCCCCTCTCCGCATGCCCTCTTGCCGCCTCCTAATCTTTCTGTTGTATATGCAGAGGGTCCCCAGTGCAAGCGGCCTCAACCACAGCGCGTTGCCCAAGAACGCAGGGGAAACCAAGGACACACAGAAACACCACAACTGTTGCGCGCACCGGCACGCCACGAACGCTACGTGACAACGGAGGGCCGCGTGTCTAAGGACGAAACAGAGCCAAAAAAGCAAAAAAAAAAAAAATTGCGTTAGTTTCCCCTAATTAGGGACACTGAAAATAAGGCAGTTTTCGTCGTGCCGAGGACGCAATCGTTCCGCCCCGGCTTTTAACCTGCGGGCGCACGCCAGATTGAGCGCGCACTTGACTTCATCGGAAGAGGCCAGCCCAAACTGATTACGGCTGTTATGCACGATTAAAGCTTGGCACCTCCCCTCCGTCAAGTGTAGCAGTTTTACGTCATGCCTGGGACGGCGATGCATATGCCGATGCCGATGCCGATGCTGGGGATCTTCTGACCCGGGTCAATCCAGACGCGGGTCAGCAGGAAACCAAAAACTGCAATGCAGGAAAAAAAATGCAACGCAGATCTTCGCAAACCCGGGTCAGTAAATATGTGTGCGGCCGCCTCGCGGCCACGAGCGGCTCCCTAACCCGGGTCAGCCAGAGGGGGTCTTCGCAGGATCCTGCAGGATCTGGCGCCCTGGCTGACCCCCGTCTGCATTGACCCCCGTCTCAGGGCTCCCGACTGACGCTGTCGTCGTCGTCGCCGGCGCCCGTGCCGCCGTCGTCGTCGTCGTCGTCGTCGTCGTCGTCGTCTTCGTCGTCGTCGTCGTCGGTGTCGTCCACAGGGGGGCCACCACCTCCACAGGGGGAGGGCCACCACGCAACGCCAACAGGATCGCGCGGGGGGGGGGGACCCGATGGTATTAGCATTGGGGGGGGGGCCCAAGCCCTGGACCATATATTCTCTACTCCTCCTCTTTCCCCCTCTCCTCCTCCTCTCTCCTCCTCGTTCCCCCTCCCCCTCCTCCTCCCTGCTCCTCCTCTTTCCTCCTGTATCCTCCTCCTCCTCCTCCTCCTCCTCCTCCTCCTCCTCCTCCTCTCCTCCTCCTCCTCCTCCTCCTCCTCTCCTCCTCCTCCTCCTCTCCCTCCTCCTCCTCCTCCTCCTCTCTTCTCCTCCTCCTCCTCCTCCTCCTCCTCCTCCTCTTCCTCCTCCTCCTCATCCTTCTCCGTCTCCCCATAGGCGCGATACTTCAAACATGCGCGTATCTGCTATGCAGTGCTATGCTATGATCTGCGATGCTACGCAATGCTATGCCTCAAAAACCAATTCATTGCCATGCTATGATATGACATGCGATGCTATGCGATGATATGACGTGCTATGCAGTACAATGCGATGCTATGATGCAATGTTATGCAGTGCTTTGCTCTGCCATGGCTACGCAATGCTATGCTGTAATATGCTATGCAGTGCCATGCTATGATACGCTATGAAGTGCGATGGAGGAGGCGGCCACTACCTTGAGTACCATTGAGGTCTGCCCAGGCGGAGGGCGGAGGAAAGGTGGCGGAAGGACGGCGGAAGGGCGGCGGAAGGGTGGCGGAAGGGCGGCGGAAGCGCGGCGGAAGGGCGCGGCGGAAGTGCGGCGGCAGGGCGGAAGGGCGGCGGAAGGGCGGCGGAAAGGTTGCGGAAGGACAGCGGAAATGGCGGCGGAAGGGTGGGTGAAGGGCGGCGGAAGGGCGGCGGAAGGGTGGCGGAAGGGTGGCGCAACGACGGCGGAAAGGCGGAAAGGCGGCGGGGGGCGGCGGAAAAACGTTGGAAAGACGGCGGGCTTCCCGAGCCGTCACGGAAGGATTTCCATGGAATTCCTGCAAATCCTGGAAATGGAAAGACCAGAATCCAGAAATTGAGGAAAAGCCTAGACGCCAGGAACCCAGGAATCGTTGAAACTCGAAGATTTCCTGGGACCCATAGAAATCAAAGAATCTATAGAAGCCCCGAACTGTATGAAATCTGGAATCCAGGAACGCGGCATGCGGAATCCAGGACTTCAGAAATCTCAAGAATCCAGAGAAACCTCGTAGTAATTCTTTAGGAATCCTTCGGAATCTCCTCGGAATCCGAATGGGTCCTTAGGAATCCCGTCGGAATCCTTCGGATCCCCAGGAATCTGTAGGAATCCCTCGGGGATCCCGACGACCCCCTGAGGAACCTTCGGAATCCTCACGGCCCCCTGAGGAACGGCTGGGAATCCTGAGGGTTCCCTTAGGAATCATCGGGGATCCTTTGGAACCCGCAGGATACCCCTCAGGAGTATCTGAGAATTCTTGGGGGTCTGGAGGGGCGGGTGCGAAACGGTGTACATAGTATGGTATTCCAATGCCCTGCCCGCTCTGTCGGGGCCTCCCTTGTCCCCCTTTTTCCTATCCATTTTCTCTCCCTTTCCCCTCCCTTTTTCAATTTTCCATCGCTTTTCCTCCCCATGTCCTTCCATTTTCCCTCCCTGTTTTCTTTCCGTCCCCTATCCTATCCCTCCTTTTTTCCCTCCCATTGTCCTTCCCTTTTTCCCTGCCTTTTCCGTCCCTTTTCCTTTCCTTTCTATTTATATGGTATATTCCTTTTAACTTCCTTATCCCTCCCGTTGTTTATTTCTTTTCCCTCCCGTTTCCTCCCCAATCCTTCCATTTTCTATCCTTTTTCGTAC